GAACATTCTCAAGAATCGACCACATACTGGAACACAGAGATAGCCTCAACAAATAAAAGAGGATTGAAATCACACCAACTGTATTCTCTGATCATAATGCTTTGAAGCTAGAGATCAACTGCAAAAAGAAATCAGGAAGAACCACAAATACATGGAGATTAAACAACATACTACTGAAGAATAATTGTGTCAGAGAAGAAATAAAAAGAGAGATGAAGAGATACATAGAAACAAATGACAATGATAGTATAGCATATCAAAACTTTTCGGTCCTGGCGAAACTGGTAATAAGAGGAGTGTTCCTATCATTACAGGCCTATCACCAAAAGCAAGAACGAGCCCAAATAAACAACCTAACACTTCATCTTAAAAACTACAAAAGTATGAACAAATGAAGCCTAAAGTCAGCAGGAGGAAAGAAATCGTCAAAATTAGAGCAGAAATAAATGAAATTGAAAACAAAACAAAACAAAAATAGAAAAAAGAAATATAACAAAAACCTGGTTCTTTGAGAAGGTTAGTAAAATTGACAAACCCCTGGCTAGACTCACTAAAGAAAAAAGAGAAAGAACACAAATAAACAAAATCAGAGATGAAAGAGGGGAAATTATGACAGACACTGCAGAAATACAAAGGATTATACAATGAAAAAGTACATAACAGCAAATTTAATAATCTAGAAGAAATAGACCAGTATTTAGAAAAATACAATCTTTCTAGACTGAATCAAGATCTGGACAATCTAAATAGACCGATCAGCAGTATGGAAATTGAAACAATCATCAAAAACCTACCAAAAAGTAAAAGTCTAGGACTAGATGGCTTCGCCAACGAATTTCACCAAACATTCAAAGAAGTACCTATTCTCCTCAAACGCTTCCAAAAAATCAAAGAGGAGGCAATACTTCCCAACTCATTTTATGAGGCCATTATTACTCTGATACCAAAACCTGGTAAAGATAACACAAAAAAAGAAAACTACAGACCAATATCTCTCATGAACACAGATGCAAAAACTCTAAATAAGAAACTAGCGAATCGAATACAGCAACATATTGAAGAGATTATACACCATGATCTAGCGGGCTTCATTCCAGAGGCACAGGGATGGTTCAACATACGCAAATCGATTAATATGATACACCACATAAACGAATTAAAAAAGAATTACATGATCATACAAATAGATGCAGAAAAAGCCTTCGACAAGATACAGCAACCGTTTATGATCAAAACACTTAACAAAATTGGTATAGAAGGAAAATACCTTACCATAATAAAGACCATCTATGACAAACCCTCAGCCAACATTATATACTTAATGGTGAAAAACTAAAAACCTTCCCTCTAAGATCAGGAACAAGGCACTTAACAAAATCGGTATAGAAGGAAAGTAACTTAACATAATAAAGGCCCTATATGACAAACCCTCAGCCAATATTAAACTTAATGGTGAAAAACTAAAAATCTTCCCACTAAGATCAGCAACAAGGCAAGGCTGTCCACTATCGTCACTATTATTCAATATAACATTGGAGGTCCAAGCAAGTGCAATCAGGCAAGAGAAAGATATAAAAAGCATCTAAACAAGAAACAAAGAAGTCACACTGTCACTATTTGCGGATGACATAATTTTCTATATAGAAAACCCTAAAGACTCCACAAGAACACTACTAGAAACAATATGCAAATACAGTAAAGTTTCATGGATATAAAATTAATGTTCAAAAATTCATAGCATTCCTATACTCTAATAATGAAGTGTCAGAAAAAGAAGTGGAAAAATAATTCCTTTTGCAATTGCAACAAAAAGAATAAAATACTTAGGAATTAATCTAATGAAAAAGTGAAGGGCCTATATGATGAAAACTACAAGACCCTATTAAAAGAAATCAAAGAAGATACCAAGAAATGGAAAGATATTCCGTGTTCTTGGATTGGAAGAATCCAAGATGACCGTATTACCTAAAGCATTATACAGATTTAATGCAATCTCCATCAAAATCCCGTCAGCATTTTTTTAAAGAAATAGAACAAAAAATCATCAGATTTGTATGGAAGCACCAAAGACCCCAAATAGCCAAAGCCATCCTAAGGAAAAAGAACAAGGCTGCCCAACTTCAAATTATACTACGAAGTGACAATAATCAAAATGGCATGGTGTTGGCAGAGAAATAGACACACAGACCTGTGGAAGAGAATCGAGAGTCCAGAAGTAAACTCACGTTTATATGGTCAAGTAAGTTTTGGCAAAAGAGCCAAAAACATAGTGGAGAAAGGAAAGCCTCTTCAATAATTGGTGCTGGGAAAACTGTAAAGCCACCTGCAAAAGAATGAAACTAGACTGTTGTCTATTACCACACACCAAAATTAACTCAAAATCAATTAAGGACCTGAATATAAGACCTGAAACAATAAAATGCATGGAAGAAAACATAGGAATGAAACTCAAGGACTTTGGACTTAAAGAGGATTTTATGAATTTGACCTCAAAGGCAAGGGAAGTAAAAGCAAAAATAAAAGAATGGGACTACATCAAACTAAAAAGCTTCTGCACAGCAAAGTTAAAATGACCTTATTACCTAAAGCATTATACAGATTTAATGCAAAGAAAACTGTCAAATGCAAAGAGACAACCATCTGAATGGGAAAATATATTTGCAAGTAATGCCTCATATAAGGAAGGGCTTAATATCCAAACCATGCAAAGCATTTATATAACTCAATAACAACAACACAACAACAAAAAACAATCCAATTTAAAAAGGGAACCAAGACCTGAACAGACACTTCTCCCAAGAAGACATAAAATGGCCAACAAACATATGAAAAGATCTCAACCTCGCTAGCTGTTAGGAAAATGCAAATCAAGACCACGATGAGATACCATCTCATATATCTGTTAGAATAGTTGTTATCAACAAGACAAGTAATAACAAGTGTTGGAGAGTATGCGGAGAAAAAGGAACCCTCATACACTGCTGGTGAGACTGCAAATTGGTATAGCCACTGTAGAAAACAGTATGGAGGTTCCTCAAAAAACTAAGATTTGATCTACTATATGATCCAGCAATCGCTCTTCTGGATATTCACTACAAAAACTTGAAAACATATACCCAAAAAGATATTTGCACACTGACGTTCATGGCAGCATTATTGACAGTCACCAGGACATTGAAGCAACTAAAGTGTCCTACAATAGATGATTGGCTAAAGAAGCTGTGCTATATATATACAATGGAATATTACTCAACCATAAGAAGAGATGAAATACTGCCGTTCATGACAACCTGGATGGACCTCGAGATAATCATGCTAAGCGAAATAAGCCAGACAGAAAAAGTTGAAAACACATGATATCACTTATATGTGGGATATAAACCTAAAAGCAGCAGACAAACAGGACAAACAGAGACTCATGGACATGGACAATAGACTAGTTAATGGTTACCAGAGGGTAGGGGTGGCAGAGGGAAGGGAGGTAGATGGGGTAAAAGGGGTCAAATATGTGGTGACAGAAAGAAATCCACCTATGGGTGGTGAACACAGAATGCAATATATATATATATATGCCTTATGGTTGAATTGTACACCTGAAACTTACTGGATTTCATTAACCGTTACCGTAATAAAACAAACAAAACAAAACAAACAAACAACAACAACAAAAAACATGTTCTCTAGCTTTTCTTGCTGTTCTCAATGGGGCAGTTGATCCACATTACCTAACCCATGATTTTGGAAATCTTTTGGTTCAGCTATGGTTTTGCAAAAGAAAAAAATTGTTTAAATTTAAAAGTAAGTTTTAAAACCTAAGTTTTAATGAAACTTAAAAATAGCACTAAAGTTTTTACTCAGTAAAAACATTTTTGCATGTGATTGAGATAATATGGACTAGGTATATGGGGGAAACGATAGTTTGTTCTTCATCTTACAATGTTTTAAGAGAGGAAAATGTGCTTAAAACATTCTTATTATTGGAAAAAAATACGCTAATTTTATTAGGATCTCATGCTTAAATATCATCTCTGCATAGAGGCTATGTTGGGAGTCCCCAAGACCACCCTTTGATGATTCAGTAGGAGGACCCACAGTTCCCAGAACAATCAGCAAATGGAAAAGGTGCAGAGAATGAAGTCTGGAGGAAACCAGGTGTATGCTTCCAAGAGTCCTCTTTCAATAGAGTCACATAGGACAAACCTAAGTTCTCCAGCCACTCATTGTGACAGTATGTGTGAAATGTTGCCTGACAGGAAAACTCACCCAAGTTTGTTGTCCAGGATTTTTGTTGAGGATTTGCACATAGATGTGTAGTCCCTATCTTTGTAACCTAAGATATTGAAGCTCCAACACCCCATTATGGAAGGAAGTGTTCATTATAAACCACATTGTTAGCATAAACGCTCTGGACAAATTAATGCAGTGTGACTCAAGGCCGCAGGCATGCAAAAATACTCGGAACGGTCCAAGGAAGAGCTCAATTCCCAAGTGCCAGACAAGGGCCAGTCAGGAAAATAAGTCTTTCTTGAGAATGTGCAGGGTTTGAGCAACTTAGACCTGCTAAATTAACCCTTTTCCACACAAAAGTTCTATCCTGACCAAACCTGAAGAAGGAAGCACCCCTTATTACTCTCTAGTCCCTCACCCTGCAGTATGTTTCTTAATGGCACTTATAACTAATCAGATCTTGGACTATCTAATCATTTGTTTATTTGACACAAATAACATTTTATTTCTGATTTCTTAGCATTCTTTCTCCTCTAGAATATAAAAGTTCCATGAGGTCAGAGACTTTGTTTTGTTCACTGCTATATTCCCAGTGTGTAAAACAGGGCTTCATTTATAGTTGGTACTATATTTGTTGAATAAATGAAAGAATGAAAATTATTTATGGAATTACTTAGGAATACCAAAAGTTTGACTGTATCTAATTTATTGGGACATGCTGTTATTCTATGAATGGCAATCTTCTCATGTGTTTATCTCTCTCTCCTGAACAGGTCTATAACTCAGTAGCCAAATCTTTCCCTCGAAGGTTTGTTTTGCCCTTACATATCAATTTGAATGCCCCCGAAGGAGAGAACCTCAGCCCACTGCCCTATTCTTCTGCCAGTGCTGTGAAACAGGCTGATGGAAAGGTATGCTATGAACGGACATTAGACTTAAGACTTTGAACTTCAGTGGTGTTACTTTCTTCATTGGCTATTCTCCACGGTGTTTGGTGCACAATGAGTTTTGTAACATTCAGCGCGGCAGGGTAAGGTCATGGAACATTGCTTGCACAAGAACCACAGAATTCTGGGTATGAGTGAGCACTATGTTTACCTATCCCTTTTGTGTTTTGAAACAGATATGTGCAACTTTCTAATGGTTGTGAAATGTCTAAATCGTTGAGATTGGTATTAACCATCCCTACCTTTTAGATAATTTGTGCTTAACACAGGCATATCATTGTGTAGCACATCAATGTCTTAGCTTTAGGAGAATTAAAAGCCCACTTCTACCTCCTATGTCATTTGACAACTTAGTCACGAAATGCAATAATCTTTTATGCATTCATACACCAGATGGAAAAAAGAACCTCAGTTTCCAGGCCCTCTCACAAACTCTTATAGAGCCTCCTCACTGACCTACACTGAAGAAAATAAGTGAGAATTAAGCAATCATTACAGATCCTTTTGGAACCTCTTTTAGATTTGGTGCTCTTATGAAAATCTATATCCGGAGGACTTAGAGAAGGAAGGAGGTATTGAATTTCCTCAGATCAACTACGGTCAATTCAGTGGCAAAAAATATCGTTTCTTCTACGGCTGTGGCTTTCGGCATTTGGTGGGGGATTCCCTGATCAAGGTTGACGTGGTGAATAAGACACTGATGGTAATGAAAATCTCTTCCCTTTTCAAACCCTTGAAAGACCTGTTCTGCCCTTTGAATTAGTTTTTGTTTTGTTTAGGACAGCTTTTGAGATTCTTTAGTATTTAAGCAGCTCAGACACTTACTTTTATTAAGTTTGAGAACCCTAACCTAGGTTAGGGGTATTTGCCTTTTAGGGAATCTAAATGAACCAGAAACCCAGAAAAATAATTCAATGCTGGATGTTATTTTGAGAGAAATCATGGGGTTAAGGTTGTTGGGACACCTATATTTCAGGTTGATGGAAAATTATAACTTCACAAATTGTGTTTGATGATGAGGATGGAATCTGCAGCTGCAAAAGCTTCCTCTCTCTCTCCTATTCAGCTCAGTGAACCTGATTCTTTTACTGTTGGAATATTATGTTGACAGCCAAATTCATGCTGGGAGGGGCAAAAGCTATAGAGCACTTCCAGCTCATAACTAACTTTCTATCAATTACTTTTTTGGGGACTTACAGGTTTGGAGAGAAGATGGCTTTTATCCCTCAGAACCTGTTTTTGTTCCAGTACCGGGAACTAATGAAGAAGATTGTGGGGTTATTCTTTCTGTAGTGATCACCCCCAACCAGGTAAACATATTTCCCTGTCACTAGTCAGAAAGAAAAGTAGCACTGAGCCTTCTGACGGTAATATTTAGTGATGCCATTGATAGTTTATTTCGATTCCTATGTGGCACTTTTTCTTTTCTTCCTCTCTTTACTATTTATGAACATTTTAAAAATCATAATCCATACTTTATTATTTTTTAAAATTTCTATTAGATCTATAATACTACTGATCATTTATATTTACATAGAAATGTATTTACAAACTACTTTCATACATATTATCTTATTTAGTCATCAAAACAACTCCATGGGATACCATTTACACATATAGAATTTGTAACTTAAGGAAGTTGAAAGAGATTTGCACTAGATTTCATGAAGGTAAAGGCAATATTTAAATCCCAGTCCTCTGACTTCTAGTCTAATATTCATACTACCACCTGTGCTGCCAATTTCAACTGAGTGACCCAAAAGTCTAATGTGGTAAGGCCTGACCTAGTGTCTCAATAATACTGATATCTAACTTCTCGTCTAGGGCATTCTTGTGGCAAATAGGTTCACTGTGAGTATCAGTGTTGATCAATTATTGGGGCTGCTTGGGTTGTAGGATTCTGAGCCTTTTTAAGGCTTGGTGAGAAATGTGCTATGATAAAGTAGTAATGCGCCTAGGATGACTTAGTCCTCATACCGTGTTCTGATCACCCCTGAAATTATACCAAAGCAAATCTCAGTGTGCCTTGAAGTGCTACCTTTTGAACAACTCTAAGGTAACACAAAATGGAGACATTTCTAATTTGGAAGAAATAATTTCTTTGTCTCTGAAGAAATTATAAAGGGGCAGGCAAAAGATACTTAAAGAGATCCTATGAAGGTGATTGGTATAAAGAACAACATTTTCGCTCTAGGTATGAACTTCTTCAGCCATAATTTCCTTTTTAAGTCCAATTCAGCAATTCAGGAAACATTTAATGAATGAATAGGCAAAGCACTGTGTTAGGTGTTGGGGATAGATATGAAGATCAATAAGACTCTTTCCTTTAGGAATTTTATAGCCCAGTTGAAAAGACAAAAAGATTTTTGATAGAAAAAAAAAAGAATTTTCAGTATTGTCTTTCTTTTTTCCTAGAATAAAAGCAACTTTCTTCTAGTCTTGGATGCCAGGAACTTTGAAGAATTGAGCCGAGCAGAGGTACCTGTGCAAATGCCTTATGGGTTTCACAGTACCTTTGTAACCATCTGATAGAAGAACCGCAAGGTCTGGGAACTACGTTTAAAATGAATGTGCTCTGTACAAAAGAGAGATATCTTACCTTCCAAGCTGTAGACATGGTTTTTAAATTTCTATTAAAAACAATTCGTGTGATGATTATGATTTTATGTTTTCTTAGGGCTCTTCCTTGAAAAGATTAAGCAAGTGTTGATACAACCTTGTGAGGAGAGTTTTAAAGTTATATTTACTGAATGTATCTTCCTTTAGGTAATAAGAATACATGAAAGAAAAACTAGAACTGGGTTATTGCCACCACCAGATATATGGGTGACAGAGATCCTTACACTTGGGAAAATAAATACAAATAATCATAGTAGTAGAATAAGAAGATAGGTCTGAAAAACACCTTTTTTTCCCCCCTCATCACAGCCTGTCACCACCCGTCCTCAGGTACTCACAGAGGACAGGAAGCCGACTATGTCATACCTGGAAGCTTCTTTTAAACTGGATGCTTCTCTGCTGTCCATAGCAGATGTCATTGCAGTTGGACCATCCACTCTCACCTCCTACCCTGTCCCCAGCTCAGCCTTGGGAGGGTGTTGTTTTGAGGAACATTGCTAAAATCAGGCATTTCTTCTAATCTCCAGGTGTATAGTTCTTCAGGTATTAATGAAAAAACGGTAGTTCATTTAGTTGGGCAACAGGTGGCACTAGAGACCATTTAATCTCTACAGTTCTTAACCCACCAGTTTTTACCCATAGCTGGAATCAACCTAGGTCTGTCACTTAAGCCACATTCTTGCTAACACCTTCAAAATTCTTTGTTTCCCTTTCCTTCAGTTATATTCCTTCCCTCCACTGAACTCCTACCCTGGGCTAGTTAAACCTTCCATACTCCCTTTGTGTTGAATATTTCTGGAGAAGTCCCCAAACATGTCTTTTGGGGGCAACTGTGAATTCATGATTAGGCTCGCTGCACACAGCAGTCAGTTTTTTCTCAGTTTTCCTTAGGAGTTATTATAAACATCACAAACCCTATCTTCTTAAGTGAAGTATTCCATACATACAGATGCCACATGTGAGAGTTTATATCATGTCAATGAAGTAAAAGTTCTAAGTTTTGTGTTTGGATTGGTGAGATATAGAACAACAGATCAGGTACAGAATGGCAAGAAGCTGCCTAAGCAGAACTAATATAGCATATGTGGGAGCTTAGAGGCTGAGGTAACCATAAGAGCATAAATCCCCTGATATTTTACAGGAGTCCTTAAAAAGGCATGGTACTCCCCCAGAAAAGACCTGGAGGTTTGATTGAGATCTTACCCGGATCTGAAGGGTGAAGGAGACTAGTTGACATCTGGGAAGTACGCAGATCTGATCGTGTCTTTCCTCTGTTTATAAATCTTTATTCCATCCTAATTCACAGAGAGCGAAGTTCAAACATATAAAGGTTAGTAGTATAATTATAAAATTTTGACCCAAGGATGCCGGAATCCTGCTTTGGCCCTGCCGTCTATAAGGTTCTTGAAGGAGAAGACAAAAATGGATCAATGATATTTTATAATCTAGGTGCATATGCCTGGTAGTCCAATGCAGAACGTTTTGGTAAAATTGAGTGAGCATGTGACTAAGGCTCAAAGCCTGGGCAGGGCCTCTTCCTCTCCCTATCCAGACACAAGGACAGAGGGATGTGGTCCACAAGCGATGGAAAAAGAGATTAGAGCCTGCCCTAATGACCTTGTCTCAACTAATTACATCTGTAAAGACCCTATTTCCAAATACGGTTATATTCTGAGGTACTGGGAGTTAGGACTTCAATGCATTTATTTTGTGGGGACACAATTCAACCCATAACTGAGAGTGAATTGGGTGAGTGCCTTTATATAGAATTAGCTTTAATACAAATTTTAGAGCATGAACTCTGTAAGAGTAAAATAATTTTTCAGAAATTTCTTCTATTTTTTACCTTTTGTCTTGATTTTTTAAAAACTTTTTGGAATGAGTAAATTGTTTGTGTGACCACTGACTATCTCTGATGTAGTCAATGTCTTGGCAATATTGTTTATATTATAAGTGATCTTGGTTAAGTAATTCACTTACCTGGACCTATGCTTTCTTATCTATAAAGCGAGAGCGCTGAACTAGATAGTTTCTATTTCAAAAAAAATCTCTGAAGTTTATAATTCTTTGAAGTTCTTTCTTTACAGCACAAAAGGGAGATGAGAAAATATTTGAAAAATGTGTGAAGAATGTTTGCTATATAACATAATAATTTAATGTAGCACAAACAGAACCATATAGCTGGAGACCAGAGAGATTTGAGAGAAATTACAATTGAGACTTATATTTCTGCCACTCTCACGATTTTATCTATCCTTCCCAGTGCCTGGAACAGTGCCAGCCTCATAGTAGATACGATACAGGACAGGGCAAATTTCCCGGAGTTAGGAGGGAGACCAAGCCCTGCACCAAGAGAAAAGGGTCCTTCGGCAGAGAGTGTAGAAAGAATTCAACACACACACCAAAGTTCGAGTCAAAAGGAAAGTTTATTAGAAAAGGGATAACACTCCACAGACAGAGCCGTGGTCTCCTCTCAGAGGCAGAGAATGAAAGGGGCCAAGAGAGACATGTAAAGGCAATGAGTAGGGGACCTACTGTTCAGAGAATTCAGTTTACGTGCCATTGGTTCCCGTTTCCTTTGATATGGACATATAGTGAGGAAGGAGAAAGGGAAGAAGAAGTAGCCTGAAAGGCCTGCTGGCAGGTCTCAATCTTTAATCCATAGGTTCCCCAGGGTTTTAGCTTAGGGAATGAACAATTTTGTGTAGGGCAGCCACTTAAACACTTGTTCCTGTTTCCCTTTCCACAGGTGTGGGAAATGAGTTATTAGCATTCCCAGTAGAAATCTTCCTTTGTTCTGCAGGTGTCCTCTTGGCCTGGCTGCAGTGCTGATCAGCATATTGCAGTCTCTTTATTAACATTTTTAACTCTTGCCTTCTCCCTACATTGTTCAGTATATATTTAATAAAGGCATGTATGGAAGGAAGCAAGAGGTGACTTGCAACTGGGAACTGAATAGTTTAGATGTTTCTTATAAGTAGATTCACATCTACTCATAAGATCTTCTGACTCGGGGTGTCTACGGTGGACATGGAATTGCTAATATGTGTTCATGGGTACATGTATTCACATTGGGCCAGACCCAGAGTGATAAACGGGTTCATGCGTGCATGTGGATAAGTACAGCTTGAGAGTTATCCTTAGTAAGAATTTTTACAAACAGTCCAAAGGTAATATCCTCTCTGAAAGCCACGTGGTCCTACACGTGCCCTCAAATTCCTGCTCTTTATTCAATACATAGACTGGCCTTGGGGCTTATCTCAGAGTAACCAGTGACTGGAGGTTTCTATTGTAACCCGGGCTTTCTAGAAGTGAATTGAAAGGGTGGCTCAAAGAAGTCCCTCCCAGACCCAAAGTGTGCCCAGTCTGACCCTAACTGCATGATGTGACCTCAGGCTGAGGAGACATAAAAATGGACAGTAAAACCCCATCCACCTTATTTGACCCCTGCTAGGTATTGCCTGGCTATCCAAACTTGCTATCCCGAGACCCGGATAGTAAGGGACGCTGATTACCGCCTCCAGGCCGGCAGAGGGAGCCCAGCCGCAGGGTGAAGCGGAGAGCGCTTCCCGGGGGCGCAGCTTGCACTGCGCAGCCGCGGAGAGAGTCTTTGTCCACCCCAGTTCCCGCCCCAGGGCCAAGGGAGGCGGCGGTGACTCCGCACGCGGGACTGGGAGGCGATGAGCGCTTCAGCCTCTGGCTGTCGTCGCCGGGCGCGAGTATCCCGCCTCGTCTCCTTCAGCGCGACCCACCGGCTCCACAGGTGGGTTGTGCCTACAGTGCCAACGGTGTGGGGCGGGGACTTCTAGCCCGGGGGCGCGGCCAGGTGCGGGAGGGGCAGGTGAGCGCACCGAGGAGTGGGCGGGGCGCGTCTTGTTCCTTCCTGTGGCCGCCGGGCTTCATTGACCGCACTGTAACAGTGGCAACTGGAGTTGACCAGGCCCCACAGCAGGCAGTGAAGTGTGTTGGGTAACCGAGCGGACTGCGGAGAGAGACGGTCTTGGGTGCTGGCTCTGCGATCTGAAGCAACTTCTTTGTCGGATTCCCCTCGTTTAGCTCAAAGGGTTGCTGCAGTGTTCAGAGTTAAACTTGCCCAGATTACACAGTGCCAGGCATATTCGTGAACTCTCAATAAATGTTAGATACTAGGAATATTAGCTACCGTAACGAATATAATTACAGCCTGGCAAGTTTTATCCCCTTTTCGCCTAAGATAAAATGAACTTAGATGTTAACTTTCCTAAGGCAGCTCTGAGAACAAGCAACAATTGGAATTTCAGCCCAGAACACTCAGACTATTTGATGACACTGAAGAGTTGCTTTTGAGGAGAATTTTGCCACTCATTTGCAAGGTCCACTCTGAGCATCCTTTTCCTCCTCTGTAAAATGAGCATAATTCTACCCAACAAGATCCATCGATTCATTCACTGGACAAGTATTTGTTGTGTGCCTATCAGGTCTTGTGCTAGGTAACAGGGATGCAGCATTGATCAGATGTACCTGTGTTACTGCCATCTGTCTGGAGTGTACAGTCTGGCCAATATTGTGGAAGGTACAGTGAGATAATTTTGTGCAAAAGCTTTGTGAACTGTAGCACTCTAAATGTAAGAAGTGGATGAATGGGAGAAGGTGGGGGAAATAGTAAAGAGTATTTCAAAAAGAAAGGGGTTGTATGATAGAAAGCTCCAACATATGAGGGCAGTAAGGGCTCATTAAAGATGCAAAGATTGGACAGGAATAGGTATAGGTAAAAAAATCTATTAAGAGAAGTGTTCACTGCCTGGAACAACAGCCAAATATTGTAATTTTCAAGTTTCACCTGATTTGAATGCCCCTCAGTAGATTGAAGTTATCAGTAGGCAGTAGTTGAGGCATAATAAAGCAAAATTGTTAAAGAGGAGACTGCTAGATCATGTAGTTATTTTTCAGGAGGAACGAGATTTTAAGCCACTTGAGGACAAGCATATTTTATCACTGTATGCCCTTGCTTCATTCAGCCCATGCCTAATATGTAGTAGGTACTCTGTAAATGTTTGAGTTGAAAAATGGAAGGGCCTTGAGCAGATCAGTTTTTGGAATCTTGCTGTGGAACAAGGGTATGGAATTTGTTTATGCTAATTTGTATGGTACAGTAGCCTAATTAGGGGGCATACACTGGGTTGTGACATAAAGCTGAATAATGAAATCAAGTTGATTTATGATTCTCTGGTGAGCTAAAGTAATAATAAATTGTGAAGCTTTTCAAAAGCTAAAACAAATAATAAATATAGGGAACAGAGGTGTCTGACTTTGTCATGTTGACTTTTTTTTTTTTTTTGGTCAGCAAATCTCTGAGTAATGAAGAGAACTTGAAACTGTTTGGGAAATGCAACAATCCAAATGGCCATGGGCACAATTATAAAGGTGAGAGAAAAACTGATGAAAATTTAGCCCTTTCAATTAAGAGTAAGAGTGTTTAGCAAATATAGTCTTAATGAGTAAAAACCTTATAGACTGAGCAGTAACGCTTTGAGCCTTGAACGAGATGTTAAATGGAAGTTCAGAATGAAAAGAGCTGTTGCCTTGGTTGGATGTGTCTTAAGTTTTACCTTTTAATTGTCTGCTCTGTTACAGATAGTCCACAACAGTGAATGGTTTAAATAATTTTTCCTTGGCCTTAGAGTACGTAATGAGATTGTTTTGGCACCACGTTTCATTCTAATTAGATATTGCCGAGGCTAATGTTAAAATTAGATTATGGTCTTTGAGTAAATAATGACTGACAAAAGGGGAATATTGGCTAGGAATATGCTGTCTGACAGGAAAATATGTTGGGTCTACAACTTTGCCTGTAGTTCCAAGAACATAATTAATTTATGTAAGAATAAGAGACTTGATTCTTTGAGATATAGCTGATGTCTCAAAAAACAGCTATAAAAGCCGTTGAGTATCACAGCATATGGTGTGGAGTAAAGACCAGAAAAAAGTGTCAGGAGATCAGGATTTCTAGTTTAGTTACTGCCTCTTAACTCAACCTATGATAGCTCTCATTCTTAGTTTATTCACTTGTCACATAATACCTAATGATGTTTGTATGATGTTGAAAAAAATATAAAAGTTGTCAACTTGTAAAGCATTCTGATCATCAAGGTTTTTCAAATGCCTCATACAAGCACTTGTTAATTTATAAAGCATTACTGTGAACTGTTTACATCCATGTGAGTAAAGGGATAAGAGTTTTAGGCCCAGCAGTTTTGTGTTCTTAGAAAGGTACTGCCCCAAATTGGACCAGATTGATGTGTAGCTGGACTTTTTCCTGTTCATTTTCTACTTTTACAGGCAGTGATTGAGCAGCATTTCGATCCTACCTGGTGGAGATTCCAACCTAGTGCATCAGCATTATAAGCAGAATTTACACCCTTCTTGGCCTTGGCTAAGCTCTTCTGCTTAGTCAGGGCTCCTACCAAGCTCCTTTGTCTTGGTCAACTCTTGCTTTGGTTGCTAAAAAGATCTTAGCTAAGAGGACAGATGTTTTGGGGAAAATACAAATATATCTTTATGGGACAGAGATCTAATAATTTATGTTGCTAACTTGTGCTTGGATGTTAATTTATTGAAAGTCATGCTGGTTTTTTGTTATTTCTTTTCTTATAGTTGTGGTGACAGTACATGGAGAGGTATGTGCTGAAAAAATATATCTATGTGGTTTGTATGGATTGCTGGGCCTTCTTTCCTCCGACGTGATAGATTCTGTGTTGAAAAATTCTTTTCAAATTGGTATTGCTTCATTGCTGGCCTTTGAGTATGGTGAGCTGCTTCCCTTCAGGCCTTTCCTCTCCCAAAGTGTCATCTTTAATGTGCTACATGTGGATAGGTAGAAGAGCAGTACAATGAAAAGGATGCCTGGAGCACTTGGTGTTTCTGTGCTGAGACTGACAATTGTGTTGGGGATGAAGGCAAATGTGGGCACAATTTCTGCACCTTGTACAGCCTTTAATATAGCAGAGGTTTAAATATGAAGAGCATATTATAGTAATATTCACCTTTGTTTATTCTTTAGATTGATCCTGTTACGGGAATGGTTATAAATTTGACCGACCTCAAAGGTTATATGGAGGTAATGGCATGTTTGGTGCTTATTATGTGCTGTCCTCTAAGTATAATATTTGACAGCCCCCTTTCATTTCCCGAACCAAGTGTCTACAGGGACGCCATGACTGTGTGATTGGAATTGGGTGTGGGAGTAGGGGAGTAGTTAGAGGAACTACTTTCGTGTTGGGTGACTTAATGGAAATGAGTCACAATTGTATTACAATGATGGAAATGAATGTAGCATGCTCATCTTATATGTCTTGCTGGCATATCTTAATTTCCTATGTTTAAAAATTCTACCGTTCTTTCAAGATCCAGCTTTCTCCTGGTAGCTTTCTTTACCTTCTGTGAATTTTCCTTGTGCCTTTGATCAAGATTTTAATACTACCCCATTTTATTCACTCTAGCTTTATTATAAACTCACTGGGGCAGTTCATCATAAAGATAACACAAAAGAATGTGTTCGATAAAGGACTCACTGATTATATCACTTGAGAATTTTTGCACTGTAAGAGTCCTTAAAAGATTATCTAAGTCCATTTCCTCATGCCATAAATTAAGTTTGAGAGATGCTGAACAGTTAACCGACTTGCCCTAGGTCATAAGGTTAGTCCTTTACAAAGTTGGGAATAGATTTCCTTCTATCCAGCTTAGTTTTTATTATGCCATCGTTTCACTTGCTTATTTAGTTCTTTGCTTCAGCTCTGCCCTTTTATTCTAAAATTTGACATTCGTTTCATAAAAATGCTTTTATTAATAATCATTACTTCTTTCATATTACTTAGCAACCATGTATTTAGCAAGTTTGCCTACTTTATGTCATTGTTCAAGCTAAGCACTAGGAATGCAAAGGTGAATGAGACATAGCCCTTACTCACAGAGTGCTCACATTACTTTTTCTAGGAGGTAAAGAATAATAAGTGCCCAGTAAGTTGGTTGAATAAATGAATAAGAGAATGAGTGAATAAACGAACAGCACTGTGCCCAAAGTACTTTAGGAAAGCTATAAAGACAGAGTTCTTGCATCAACTGGGGACACAAACTATATATATATATACAGGGTGTTGTACAAGACAACAATATGAGAACTACGAGATGTCCCAAGCAAGCAATATGATTAAATATGCCTTTTTATACCACTTTGAAGGACACCACACACTCCCATCAATAAAAGTGGCTCATCATGGCAGCAGAGTAAAGTTAGAGCCTTGTTGAAGAGGCTTCAGTGGAAAAGTTGGGACCTGGAATTGAAGATAAAACAAAGATATTTATTTTCTTGATATTCATGTGGTTATAATTTGATCTATTTTAAAGGTTGTTTGGTTTAGGACTTATTCTTTTTATACGATACTGCTTTTGCTCAGAACACGATTGCTATTATTGCTATTACTGTACTCTTCTTGGAACTATACCACATGGAAAATTAGATTGTTTCACAAATGCTTAGATTTTTTACAATATAGCTAAAAGTAAAAACTTAGAATAAGGCAGTTATAGTTCTTGCCAATTGACAAATGAAAACATTATGTTAATATGTATAAGCATTAGAAAGCAACAGTCTTTATATGTTTATATTTTTTCTTCCAAGAGGCCAAGATCATTCTGAAAATACTACTTATTGCAGAAATTTACAACTACTAACATAGTTTCAATCTTAGTCTGCTGTGAAAAGTGTAGTATTAATTGGATCTTTGTCCTAATGATATTTTCTTGAGGGTAGTGAGACTGTTATGGACAGGTATTTCTGGTAACTTTTTGGACATAATGCAGGATGTGTTAAACTAAATTCTGAATTACAAGGCTTGTTACAAGAAAGCTCCAGTGAATTTTCTACTTTTTGGTTTCTTAACCTCTTTACATTTAGTGGGAGAATAATGTCGTAGAGAGCTTACTTTATTTTACAACTTTAAACTGTCTGAGATTGCATTGCAAGACACAGATAAAGTACTTACAAATATTGAGTCAGTGGCCAAATGATAAGTTTTAGAGGCAAAGGTGGAACATTTTGGAATGTGAGTCGTAAATGGCATTATGTTTTTCCTTTGTTTTGTCTGTAGGAGGCAATTATGAAGCCCCTTGATCATAAGAACCTGGATCTAGATGTGCCGTATTTCACAGATGTTGTAAGGTGAGTATGATTGTCTTACCTCATATAGATAATAAGAAAGAATTGATTTAACATTTTATCTGATTGCTGTGTGATTTCTGAAGTTTTAGTTTAACTATTGATGTCTTTTAAAAGTCTTTAGAATTTCTTTAGATGTCTTTAGAATTTCTGTTCTCTGTAAATATTAAACACGAAATTTTATTGTTTTTTGATCTTCTTTCCTTTTCTTCTACAGCACGACAGAAAATGTAGCCGTATATATCTGGGAAAACCTTCAGAAATTTCTTCCTGTGGGAATTCTTTATAAAGTAAAAGTATATGAAACTGACAATAATATTGTAGTCTATAAAGGAGAATAGCCCATAGGGGTTAATATTTTAGAAAGATTTAATTTCCATATTTAAGAAATAGCTTTCTCCCCTTAGACTATTAATAAGTCATCACATAATTATTATACCTCTACATTGTGTTCTGGAGTGCTTGATTTATTGAAAACACTGTGAGTAAAACTTGTTTTAAATTCAAATCTATTTTAAAACAAAATTTGTAATGTATCCTGAGTATCATTTAAAGTATCTTTTTTGAGATTAAAAATCACTTTATTTCAGCAAAATGTTTTGGTGTAGAACTAATTGAAAACAATAGCAATCTATTTTTGTTTTTTCATTATCTCATTTTTAGTATTCATTTTTTTCTGATATAATAATAGAAATATTTATAAAAATTACAGTAGGTGAATCTTATAAAAAATTAAAATACAGGTGACCACAAAGTCTGGAAACATAGACTACATGTATTTCTTAATAGGTTGAGCTTCTTTGATTACTTCTTCTAGGGTGTGCTCTAGGCATAAGTTTCTTCAGGGAAAATTAGAAACACAAATCACCTGAGGCAGTGTTTGTAGATGGATGTGCAAGGATTGATGGAAATGCTGCTTTAGTGCACATTGCCCATTGCAGTTTTGCTCAGCTTATTATTGAACATGAATTGCTAGTGAGAAATAGCACATTGAACATGTCATAGAATATCAGTCAACTACCAATTAAGTATATTTGTGTATGTTTCCAGACTTTATGGCCACCTGAACAGTTTTAACTGAGAAGACTGAAGAATAATCACTTATATTAAACCATGTTAAAATAATCAATGTGAAAAGAATCTTTTATGCTGTAAAGCATCTCTTGTATACAGTTTTCTCTATTCGATTTCATTTTGTTCTGATCATTAAACTTACTTGCTTAAGTTGAACTATATGTTTGGCATTTATCTCTGGTATCTTTTCCTCAGGACCAAATCCACAAGAATGTATTTGCTTGCTTTGCACAAGGAACTGTTCTCTCTTGCATTCTCATTAGTATTATAAACTTATTAAATATAGGGTTTTGTTTTACTCTTCACATGGCAACTAGTACCAATGGAATCTCAGAATGTTGCTGCCTGAAAATAGTAAAAGGCCATGCATAAGTGATTACTATACTAGAAAAAATTTCAAAGGAATACACTTTTATTTTGAAGAGTTAGTAACTGCAGGAATTTTATGATAAATTTTCACAGTGATACAATGCCTACTTAATTATATTTTAATCTGCTTTAGTTATCAAACACAATTTTTATGTTACTTATTCATGTATATTTTGTATTGATTACTTGAAAGTCAGGGTAGCCATATTTTATTAAGGCACTTTTTGTTTTAATTCCCACAAATACCATACAAGGTGGGCATTTTTTCCATTTTGCAGATGAGACTATAGAAATTGGGTGAGTTTAAGCTACTTATCCAAGATTACTCAGTCAATAGAGAGCAAACTGAGTGTTTCACATTCAGAGTCTGTCTGACTCTCAAACACAGACTCTAAAAAAAGGATAATGTATGTATATTTCAATTTTTTTTTAATTCCAAATTTTTTAATCATATTAGAAACTTATCAAGCTATATTGTAATTGTTGCTTTACCTTTTTTGTCCACCACCCTGAATTCCTTGTGGGCAAGGTATTCTAAGCAGAGTATCTGGTAAATAGAACTCAGTAATTTTGTTGATTAAATAAATGAATGGCATATGGGTGGAAACTGCTGAAGTTTTATAGTGCCTCCTACATAGGTAAATATTTTTAGAATTGAATAACATGAAAGTATTGAGGCCTGAATTCCAGTCCTAGTGCTATTACTATTCAGTTGTGTCACTTTCTTCTCAGGGCCTCAGAGATGAATGCTTGGACTACGTGCTTTCTGAAGTTGCTTCTGCCTGTTCTCAGATTTTTATCACAATGATTTTAAATACCAAATGAGTAAATATTAATTTAGAGAAAGAAAAAGATTATTAGGAGCTGGTAAGGTTTGGAAAGCTTTGTGGAGGAGGTAAGTCCTGAATGGAACTTCAAGTGATGGGGTAGGGAAGGTGGTGTTTTGGAAGTCAAGAGGAAAGAGGGAATGAATACTGAAAGGGTAAAATTTTATTAGTGGGGTTACTAGAGTGGGAATGTACAAAGTACATTTGGGATATAGTGAATAGATTAATCTTAATAGAGTAGTGATGAGATAGGAGTGTGTAATGGAAGTTAGCTTGGAAATAGAGCATGGGGACAGCCTAGAAGGTCTTGAATATTAGTTTGGTTTTTATCCTTTAAGGAATAGGGAGCTGTTGAAGTTTTGTCTTTGCTTTTTAAGGAAGATGACCAGTTAGACAAAGGGAAACAAGGAAATGAGTGGCAAAGCCATTGCAGGGATCTAGACATGAGGTTATGGGTGCCAGGAGCACGTGGTGCAATGGAAATGCAGCAACAGGGAGGAGAGTAGAACTCACGTTGTGTAGTGTCTGCTGCCAGTGTCAGGCATTTTGCAAAGTACTTTTTATATTACCTCGCTTTATCCCTATAACCACGTTGCAGGGTGAATGTATTGGTTATCATCTACTGTCACATAACACATTACCCCAAACATAGTGGCTTAAAACAACCGCATTTATGATCTCACAGTTTTAGTGTGCGAGAAATCTGAATGTGGCTTAGCTGGGACCTCTGCTCAGGGTCACTCACAAGGTTGCAGTCATCTCAACGTTTGACTGGGAAGGATCATCTTCCTGGCCCACTCATGTGGTTGTTGGCAGGATTGAGTTCCTCATGGGGTTGTTGGACTGAGGCCTCAGTTTTTCCCTCCCTTTCTTGCCCTGTAGGCCTCTTCATAGAGCAGCTCACAATATGGCAGCTTGCTTCATCAGAATGAGCAAGTAAGAGGGCAAGAGAGAGTGCCAGTGAGAGAGAGAGAAGAGAAGAAAGAGCAAGTGCGCACATGCACTGGCAAGATGGATGTCACAGTCTTGTAACCTAATCACTCTTCTGTATTTTGTTCTTTAGAAGCAAGTCACTAGATCCATCCCACACTCAAGGGGAGGAGGTAACACATATACTGCTAGTGTGTAAAATGTGACGTGGAGAAGAGCAGGAGATGAGGCTGGAGAGGTAGGCAGAGAGTATATATATCATGTCCTTTTTGACTCCCGGGAAGTCAAGCACATTTTGTTTTGTGGGAGCGAAATATCAGAGAGCAGTGGTTGTTTCCTATGGGAATGGTGTGGTTTGTAGCTAGATAAATATAAATCTTTGTAGCATGATTCTTGAAATTAAAACCAACTCTAAGGTGAGAAGTTAAGAAAAATATTGACCATATCGCTATGAACAGAATGACTAGATCTCAGCAATCATTTGTATTGCCTAAGTTGATGTAGTCTCCACCAATGGGTTATAAAAATGTCCAGAATAATATGATCAGTTGTGTTCATGTGGCCACTAATAGACTAGGTCTGTGATAAGTTTGTTTTGTTTATTAAACTCTGGACTTTTACATTCCTTCTGGAAGTGGAATTATCTTAAAGATGAGAAACAGATTGTGTTCATTTTGCTTTTGTTATGTCTGGGATATTGCTAGCCTCCCTTGCACTACAAAAATCATTGTTAGTTTCACACAATTTAACTTTATACCAAGACTCTGTTGCAAGGCACTTGGAAAATGTCCCAGATAAACACCATTTCCACATAGCTGCAGGGAGAACTGCTATCACCACAAAAGAGAAGTAGAGGAAGGTGATTCTTAACACTAGAGGATTTTCAAGCTGCAGTTATGCTTTCAAGTAGCTCCGTAGTTGGTTTGTATTCTTCAAAATCCACCCATCTGCTCCCACCAATATTCTGTCACTGTTAAAAGAGGAATATTATCATTAAAAAAAAGAAGTAGAATACTTTTTTCCTCTGGTTGTTAGATAAAGAAATAATATCCCAGGCTTATATTTGTAAAGATGCCCAAGAAACAAGTCCTCAGTACTTCAGCTCAAGTTCACCGTCATCCTACCAGTTAGTATGGTAATAAGTATGAACTAAGTTGAAAAACGCTTTTCACAGATCTCTTACTAAATATGACCACTGTGGCCAATAATAACCTGAAGAAATAGAAGGGCTAGCATTGTCTTTTACCTTTTAAAGTTTTATTTGCCCACAGATAGAACCATAGATGGGTAGTTGAGTGTGTCGTAGGCATCTCAAACTTTACATTTCCAAAGTGAATTTCTGGTTTCTTCTTCAAAAACGCCACTTCCCTAAAAATGCCACTACCATCCATTCATTTTTTTCAAGCCAGAAATCTGGGCTTGATTCCTTGATTCCTACCTCTTAACCTCTAACCTATCAGAAAATTTTACTGGTTCTACCTTTAAAATATATAATGATTTTTTCTATTATTACCTTTCCAATGCCACCACTTTAGTCCATACTGCCCCCATTTCTTGCCTGGGTTGCTGACGTGGCCTCTTAACTGGTCTGTTTCCAATTTGGTTTTCTTCTACATTCCTGTCTCCACCTCTCCTACCCCTACTATGTTACCCCTTGAAAAGCTTCCTCTTGCATTAAAAACATAACCCAAACTTTTCACACCAGCCTGCCAAGCCCTATATGACCCGACCACTGCCTACTTGCCAACCTCAAGCTGTTCACTATGTTTCGGTCACACTTTTCTCAAGCCCTAAAGCACACCGATTTCTTTCCTGCTTCAAGGTCTTTGCCTTTTCTGCCTGTGAAACAAAGACCTTTAAGGGCACATGTTGTCTTGAAAGAAAGGATTTATTGAGCCACATGCTAGCCAGAAAAAGGACCAGGTAGCATGCAGTCTAAACCAGCAGCAGCAGCAGCAGAGCTAGGTGGAGAAGACTAACATGTCCTCCACCCTGGGGTTGATGGGGCTCTTACACGATGAGTTTGGGGAAGAGATATGTAAGTTGTTTTGAAAGAATTTACATTGCTATATATAAAGGGGACAGGAAAAGGTAAAAGGGGGAAAGTTCTGGGATAGGTGGATAGTCTGTAAGGAAAAAGTATTTGATGCTTCGGTATTGGTTGTGGGCAACAGTCTAGAAAGTTCCTGTATAAGTGGGATGTGGTCTGATGGTAGGCTGTTCTTTCTCGATAGCTGCCTGAAGTTGAACATACATTCGGAAATGTGAGTCTTTCGTTAGTTCAATCTGTAGCTGTTAACTGATTCATCTTGTCTCTTCCTCCAGCTTGCTGTAATTTAATTTAGGACATCTAAGAAATTTTCTCTTGCCATGCCCTTCTGTCTGGAATACTGTTCCTATCTCTTGCCCCATCCCCTTCATAAAACCTGTCATTCTTCAGATCTCAGTCTAAATGTCACCCTCTTGATCACCCTGTATAGATAGAAATCTTCTGTTATTTTCTGTTATAATACCTGTACATTCCCCTAGCTTGCAGTTAAAAATTATATTTCTTTTTGCTTTATTTATTTGCTTACTAGTTTATTGTCTGTCCCAACCACAAGGATGCAAACTTCATGAGGGCCAGAGCCCTGTCTGTTTTATTTATTCTAGTTTCCCCAAGACCTAGCCCAGTGCCGGCTACACAGCAGGTGCTGAACAATTAGTTATTGAATGAATGAAAGTGCCTGCCAATTCCAAAGAACTGGTTCGGCTTGGTTTGGTAAAATTTTTGAGATTTAATACCAAACTTTTTGAGTATACTTCAGGTTGGTGTTTTTCCCTATGTGCTTCAGCTTAGAGAATAACCACCACAACATAAAATAAAATCCAGTATTCCACCAAAACTTTTTTTCTGGCTAACTTTATCTTCCTGGCAATTTTCCATTTCCATTTATGGGTAAAAGTTATTTTAGTCCATGACCACCAATTTAAGTAAAGATAAACTAGATTTCTGAATCAAGAGTCTTTCAGTAAACTGTGGTCCTCACGACCAC